TGCCTTTATGTTTGTGTACAGACTAAATTGTACAGTTTTTGAGAGGTATGGCTGCAATTTTTTTACTACCTCCTAAGCTCAGTTCTCATGTATACATGCTTTTTTTGCCCGTTTTTAAGTGCTCTTCAGGTGCTGTATCAAGCAATACTCTGGGGTTTTTCCCCTTTTCATCTGCCATTCAAAAGCTGTATGGCTGAGTGACAGATTGAACCAAATTTTCACTGTGCTTAGAGGAGAACAGCTTAACTGTCTAGCCAGGCAACATTTGCTTTAGGGTGGGCTGAACAGCCTTCTCAGCTGGGTGCTATAATTAGTCTATGGATATCTAGTTTAGGTATTAGGTATAGGCGCCTGAATTTCAGACTTGAAGTTTCAGACAGAGCTGAATGAGCCTTTGCTTTTGCAAAATACTGTGCAAATCTAGGGAGTGGCAAGTTCTGTACCATTGGAAAAAGTATTTGAGAGTGTCCATCAAACTTTCCTTGAATAATCACATCTTGACAATTTGACAGGGTTTCCTCTCTTTTAATAAATTCAAATCTCTCTTAAAAAAAAAACAAACCCACCCCCCAAAACCCCCTAAACCATTACCAAAACAAAAAATACAACCATATTTTTAAATCTGAAGTTAAAATGTTTAATTCCTTTGCATTGGAGGTCTTTGGTCTCTGGTGTCCTTGCAATACTCATTGACATTAAGTCAATTCAGCTACTTCTGTTACAATTTCACAAAGGTGCTGCTGAGGCCTGGCTCAAGCATTGCTAAAAAAATAGTTGTTAGAGCATCTGAGGTGAGAAAAGCCAAGGCATCCAGCACACCTCCCACTCCTTCTATTCCTGTACTCACTCCTAGAACACTTGTAATGTAGACAGAATTTTTAAATGCCTGATGAGAATTACTGGGAAAGCGACTGTGTGGAGAACACTGAGATGATTTACATATTTTATGGATGACTGATTTTAGTATAAAGAACACTTCTTAAAGAATGTTCTGTAAGTAAATGCTTTGCATGATGCTCTGAAAGCAGGGGAGATCTGTTCTTACATGATTCTTAAAAAGGATATACAATTATAAACTCTGAAGAGGTAATAAAAATATATGTAGAGCATAGAACAAATTTTATCTCTTTTTTCCAAGGCTGCAAATCCTGGTTGTAGTGTAGACCAATGTATCTTCTCTGCTGTGTTTGCACAGCAGTAAGGATTTTAGGTTAACATACATGTTTTATGATGTTTGAATTCTTTGCCCATATATCCCTAAGGCCCCCTCCAGCAGAGCTGAGAACAGGTTGTCTCAGGACAGTCAGAAGAGCATTAGGGACATCTACTAACCAAGAAAACTCAGAGCTCTAAGTATGAGAACAGAACAAAATAAGCTTTAATGTTTAAAGAATTAAAAATAAACACTACATCAATTCATCCTTGCAGTGAGATTGCTTAGTTCCAGCAGCTCAGTTGCTTTTGAAGCTAAAATATAGACCCTGCCTTAGGTGAAGGCAATTTCCATTCCAAATCCTAGCTTTGCCAGTTCACATTAAATGGCAAATCAGTCTGAAGGGACATTGCACACAAAACATATTTGAATCCAACACTGTTAATCTATTTTTCTTCTGTGCAGATCTCAAAACAATGAGTGAGCGACTCAAGAACAGGTACTACGTGTCTAAGAAATTATTCATGGCAGACTTGCAGCGAGTCTTTACAAACTGCAGAGAGTACAACCCCCCCGAGAGTGAATACTACAAATGTGCCAATATACTGGAGAAATTCTTCTACACAAAAATTAAAGAAGCTGGATTAATTGACAAGTGACACTGTCTTTTTTACAACCAAATAGTGTGCCTATGTTATGGACAGGGAAAGCCGTTCTATATCTGAGTTGTGGGACTTTCAAGAAACTTCTGTTTAATACTTAGCACTTTTAAAAACCCTTTTAGTTTTGCAAACATGTATTATACTGAAGTTACAAAAATTATTTTATTAAAATGCTTTATAATGTATTTAATTACGGAATATTTCTTTTGTGTGCCGATTACCTTATGTTCCAAATAAGTTTATCAGCTACAGCCTCAGAAACCCCACAAACATGGGGGAAGTTGCACATGTTTGGGAAGATGAAGAAAATTCCCAGACAACAGATGTTATAGCTTACCTAATGCAGTACCTATTTGATAAAGTTTTATTATTTTTTCCAGTAAAAAAGAAAATCATAAGGGAAAACAACAGGTGTGGGGGGGTTCTAAAACACTTGTTTCTTTGTAGAATCTTTTTATAAGATATTATTTTTTAAAAGAAACACTCAGCTGGTTGAGAAGCTGTGAGAGAAGAGCAGTCAGTTCTGAAAAAGGACTGCGTGTGATCTTTGATAGATGCAAGTTTTTTCTATTCATTTTCAGTTTTGATAACTATTTTACCTGCAAATTGTAATCTCATAACCACTCTTAAAAAAAAAAAAAAAGGAAAAAAAATCTGCCTAGGTGCGTAATGTCTTAGTGACTTGGCTTATGCAGGACATAAGTACCCAAAATAACTTTAGAGACTACTTTGCATCTACTAGACAATTTTAATTGGCTTAGTAGAGTTAAGGTTTTATGCACTTCATTATCCACCCTACTTACTACTCCTCACTGCTAAATTCTTTAGATTGTTCAGCAGAAATAAGACTATTATACACAAAGGAAAGACAACATAGGACAGCTTTGAGCTTAGATACTCGGTTCTGTGGTAAACTGGATTTTTCTACCAAGCTTTATTGTAAATGCATATTAACTGTGATTATTTAGACCCAGGAACATAGTAACATTATACAACTCTTAGTATATCTTCAAAAAGAACACACACTCATATATACATATAATATATATATACATTTTGCTGCTTACACTACATTTAAGAGGTACACCTAAATCCTTAATGGAGATGAGTACAGGCCAAAAAGCTGTCCCTTGACATTTTCTAAATTAGAGTTTGTAAATTATAACTGCTTTTGTGAAAAACAGATTAAACTTTCATTCTTGGTGTTTTATATTTACAGATGTTACACTGGTAAAATTCAAGTTATGAGACTGAAAAAAAAAAACCAATCCTGTGCTGTGTCAAAGAATCTATCCCTGCAAAATGTCTGTGCAATGTTAGATCAATTCAGCAAGGAAATGTCAGGAACTATCTAGAAGTAGTAAATGTGGGATCTATAACAAAGGTACAGTGAGTACTTTTTCTTAAATGGCCAGAACAGGATACTATAAACCTGTTTTGTAGATTGGGCCTACAGATGCACCTGTTAAGCTTGGTAACCTGTGAATTTTTGTTATTTTCAGAGTAGATTTTCTTATTGTCTTTCAATCAGATTGTCTCTTCTATACTGAAATGTGTTTTCTAATTTAAGAATTAATATTTTCATAGATACTGTGCAATAAAGTTATGGTAGGATATGTGGTTTTGCAAATGCTTTAACAGCTGATGAACTTTACATTTGTCAAATTAATATATTGTACTGGTACAGAATAGTTTTAAATTATATATGTACAAAACCCTACTTATTTTGGTCTCTTTTTTTCATTACTTGGTACTTCATCACTTAAATTTTTCAAGCTTCCTCAATCCAGTAAGAAAAAAAACTACCCAGACCCACTACACCTACCTTGAGTTGCTCTACAATCACCCTGTTGTTTTTCTCTCCCTGCTAAAATAGCTGTTGCAGATTTGTTCATGAAAGAGCACCTGAGGTTCACAGAATACCCTGAAGGATCATTAAATGCACCTCTAACATGAACGACTGATACAGGGATAGAACCCACAACCTTGGCATTGTTAGGACCAGGCCATAATCAATATAGTCCAACCACTCTGCTTAAGTTCCTCTAGTCCTGGAATTCCAGACTGAGATGGTAAGGCCTTGTGGCTAGAATTTTGGGATACAAAGGTAAAACTAAGTTTCCACTCAAACATCCAAAGGCTGTGTTGTGAACAAGTTGGTAGCTGCAGCCAGTATTATTATTGAGAGCCATGGAAGATGCTACAAATAAAATAGTAATTAATAGTTGCTGAAAGGGAGAGATCTTGCACCTATTGACGTGGAACAGGCAGTCTTACAAAACAAAGGAAGATCTTGTAGGTTTTGTGTTTTCCCATTAGGTGTTTAGAATATAGCTTTCATTTGGATATTCACAAACCTATTAATACTTAGGTGTGTGTCAGGCAAAGTAAAAGTAGTTTAAATAGTGGACAGTTGATAACACTGTTGTTCTCATATGCAGCCTAGTGTGCCACCAAATAGCACAAGCTCAAATGTGGTACCTCTTTTTCTGGGAAAGGCACTGGGCAAAGCAGGGACAAAATTATTATAAACTGTTATGAGTGCTCCACAACAGCTAGGATCCAAGTGGAGCCTTGTTCACCAATCTTTACAAGAAATTTGTTTTGTTTCTGTCTGGTTGATGCTAACTTGCACTCAGTGCAGGACCAACTAAGCCTAGACTGCTGGTTTTGAGAGTTGCAGCTACAGAATCAAATTGCAGCTGCTGAGTTGCTTCTAAACAGTGCTTATGCCACCACATAAGATGGGGACAGAGTACACAGGCCTGTAATGCCCACTGCTGACATTAGTGCCCTTGGAGCAACTATGGAAACTACCAAAAGAACAAATTCACTCAGAGCTATTTCCAGATAGTAAGATGTTTATTCTAAGATTCAACATGAAACTATAGCCATCACATAAACAAGATCTGTACAAACACAGTTATTAAAAATACTTGCTGCTCCAAACATTTTAAGTGCCTGAAGTTCACCCATACAATGACATTCACCATCTAGCTTATCTATCAGAGATTTCTCATATGCTCGCAGATCCATTCAAAAGGAGCTTGAATAGAATCACTTCAGTTATAAAAGTAATCAATCCATATCATTAAAAATAAGTCACTAAAACAAATCCAGGCCCCCTTAATCTGATATCCTTAGTACTAGACACACAACTATTTACATATTTATATAACATATTGTGCAACAAAATATTTAATCCAGGAAATTACTTTCTTCATGGCAGAAGCATGGTTTTGCTGAGAAACTCAAAGACAACTAACCAATTTCTCATTGGATATTTTCATAGAATCTTTCTTATGAGAATGTCGTTTAGCGTCTTTTTTCATCTTGAAAATTGGAGAGCAGAGGAACTTTGTATCTGTAAATGGATCTCCTCTCCTGAGTTTCCTGTTTGAAAAAAAAGGGCAAAACTGAGTTCTGTTCCCTATGTTACTTAAAACAATAACTTTTAGCTAGTAAGCTCCATTTCACATGAACTAGGCTGTATTACTAACTCTAGAATTTGAGTTCTTTGAGCTCTTTTTTTTAAGACCTTGATTTCAAGATCTAAATAAGCCTTTCAAATCCTCTATTGGATGGAATATCATGGACTTTATGTCAAACTGAAAAGTAAAGACACCTACCCTGCAATACTTGGTTCTTTGTAGTTCACAGTAACAGTACAGCTTCGCCGTTTGCGTTTTGGAGACTGAAGAAGTCCTTCACCTTCAGGGACAATTTCTGCATCCCCAGTGCTGGGGAGCACTGCAGCTCTATTGGTAACATCACAGAGATGCCCACGAGATCGGTCAGAAGGCTGCTCTGTGAAGAAATTAGGCACAGTTCGGATAAGTGAGCTTTAAGGAAAATCTAACCATTCTTAAAACATTACTGTGTTGGTTGTTATTAAAAACAAAAAAAAACTAAAATAAAAAAGCCTATATCTCCTAAATAATGTTATCTTTCAAGAAAACAAAACCAATTACAGAAAACTTTCTGTACTTACTAATAGACTTACGACTTGATTTGTTTTCAGTCTCTTCTTCATGACTGAGCTTCTGCTCACGCTGTGCCAAACATCTTTTAGACCTTGGCCTTGGATGGATTGGTGATGTAGGGCTCTCATCCACTGAACTTTGCCTTTTCTTTGATTTACTCTTGTAAGGCTCATAGAGGCTGTCATCTGAGTCACCTCCAGTACTGCTTGACTCAATGGTATTGGTTTCAGCTGAGTCTTCTTCACCCTCCACTTCAGTATCACTGCCGCCTGTCTTGTTTTGTCGAAAAGGTGTAAGATGGACACTCTCTTCAAAATGGAAGTCATAAGCATCACTGATGCCACCCAAGAAATTCTGCTTTTCTTTAGAAGACTCTTTACCCAGTTTTCCTTGTCTTTGTTGCGAAGTAAGTGGCCATTCCAGTTTTCCTTTCTGGCGCTTTTCTTTCTTTCGTTGAGGGTTTTCTCTGCTTTTACACTTCAGTTGTTTAAGATCAGAATTACATTTTAATTTGAACTTTGCAGTTTCAGAAGTTTTCTGCCTCAACACTAGCTCTGAATTGACCTTGCTTTCATTCAAGTGAGGAATAGCTGCATTTACATTTCCTGTAGCACACTTCTCTAGACTTTCCTCAAGCCTAATTTCCTTCTGTTCAGAAAGTTCTTCTACTGAATCAGGTAATTCTAAATGGTCCAAGACATCAGTGCAAATTACATCAGGGTTCCTCATCGTCAAAAAGCGACGTCTGGTGGATACACTTTTTGGTAACCCGTTACCAAATCCAAACTTTATACTTGAAGAAACATTTTCCAGCTCTGGTTCTGTGTTTTTCAGATGAAAATCAGATGGCTGTCCTTGTAATTGAAGGGAAAATGTCATATTAAAGGCAAACAGAAAAACCATTTTAAGATTTTGTGCAAAAAATCTGAACCTGTCAAAAATTCAGACTATTCTTTGGGTTTTCTCTACAGATTTTTATAAACTAGTATTTGGCAATTGAGATAAGCTCTGTTTAATATAGCTTCCATGCAGAAAGCAGTTAGGCAATATAACACTAGTATTTTCCTATAAACTGTTCCTTTTGGAAAGGTTATTGACAGATCATTTATTTTCCTGAGTATTTTGCTTTGTTAACAAGTTTTTATTGATTTCATAAGTGCTAACAACTGTATAAAGGCAATTTTACTTGGTTGAACTCTTTGATAGATAATGAAACTGGACTGCAGCTATAGAGAAGATAAAGCAGTTTCAAATTCCTCCCCATTTTGCCAGACATCTCCATTCAAAAATTTTACCAGCATTAGTATTTTCCCTTTATGACAAACAGAAAGTTACTTATTAGTTCCTTCACAAGCAGCAATTTTTTTAACTTGTACTGTCACATTGTTTTCCTAATTCAAAAACAGAGCAATGTCTGATACTTTGATTTAGTTACCTTCGCTTGGAATTATATTGGTAAAGGAAATGTCACTGTCAGATTCCACACAGATCTTTGACAAAGAATTTCTGTCACCACGAGCTTCCATCTCATTCGGAAGTACTGGACCATCTTCAAGAACACACTTTAAAGGTCCTCTAGAGAAAATACCAAAGATAGTGTTTACTGAACAGCAATAGAATTTAACACAAGGAAGTTTTCATTACATGGGGTTGTTTCCCTTTTTCCAGTCAGAAAATTAAAGTCCCTGTAACAGAGTTTCCAAACATAGACAGGCATTAATCAATGATACTTACACCGGATGTGTTGGTCCTGTGACACTGCAACTGTTTCCAGGACCTGAAGAAAGCACTCTCTGATTCTGTCAACAAAATAAATCTTACTGTGATGAAAAGGCTGAAACAGGCTTGCACTATCTACAAATTTTAGACAACAGCCAAGTTACCCCAGGAAGCACCAAAGAGGCCCTTAACTCTTTCTGTCTAGCTAACACCAAGTGCTGTGGGTGTTAGCCAGCCACCTTCTCAGCCTCTGCACATCAGCGCATTCATCTCCAGCTCAATCCTACAAGCGGGCAGGGGAAGGAACTGTGCATAAAATCCCAGGAAATCAGGGTGCTCCAACCACTGCATAGCAGAGCCTCAATCCCATTTATAACTTACTGACACTTCCCCACAGTGTGCACCCCTGGAATACTGGGAACTGTGGGACTACTCCTTCCTCTGAACTAGGGCTCAGATCTAAAAATCTACATGCATCTATGGTGGAAGAAGTGAAGACAATCAGTAACAGAAATCCTGCTCCTCAAGAGGAAAAGGCACTTACTAGGCCTATGGAACACAAATTCTTTGCTGGGCCAAGGAGCATGATGGAGTCCTGTAAATTCTGAGACACTTTGGAAATTATCTCATTCAAGGCTGACAGTTGGTTCTAATGGACAAAGGAAGGACAGTAACACTGTTACTATTGTACTCTATTATCAATTACAAACTTATCAGCATTATGAGATAACTAAAATCTGAAGAAACCGCTGTCAGGTGTGTTCACATGTGATAAGCTCCCCACAAAATTCACAGAAGACAGACTTTAATTTTTGTTAATTAAGATTTTATGTTTACTCTTTCTTATTTTAAATAAATGAGAAAGAGAATTGAAAAAAAAAAATTCATTACCACATGTCAATGTATCCAAAGCAGCATACCAAGTTAGGTGAAAAAACCCATTGAACATACTGAGTTAATGTTTTATGAAGCATTTAAGATCATAACGATATCTATCAATGGATTGGTACAGATTTTGATGTTCAGCTTCACTAGCTCATATAGTAATTATTAAAAATACCTCCACATGTCCTTGTTCTTGCTGGAACCTATGATTTCTTTGCAAGTCAAACATCTGAGCCTTCAAAATGTGATAATCTTTCCTTAGCTGAAGAATGGTATCTTCAGCTTCCCTCAGTTTGAGCTTGTGTTCTTGCAAGGACAGAGCCAGGTCTCTATTGTTTGCTTGAATGATCTTAATTTTGTTGGAGTTGTTGGCTGCAACACAACAGTAAGTGTTTCAAATGGCTTTGAAAAGAAAACAAATAAAAGATAAATCCTAAGATACTTGGGCATCTTACTTGCTCTTTTGGCCTTTACAGTGGAAAACTTGGTAGTTTTACCCAGTCTTGACCATTTCTGAATTCTTTTCTCTTTCATGCGTTGTTTTATATCACTCAGACTGTCTTTGAAGGACTTCCTCGAGTATTCCGCCATCTTCTACCTTTAAAAGTGGAAAATGTGAGGAACCCACGAAGCTGGGGTTGCACCACGCGCCCCCAGCACCAAAAGAAAAGGCACAGGGACAGATGAATAAAGCTCGGGGCAGTTTTAAGCGGAGGTACACACACAGCAGAGACCCACAACCAGGAAAAGACACCAGATCTGGCCACTCTCACCGCAGCTGCTGCGGCGAGGCCGTCCCGGCCGCGCGGTGCCGGAACTGCAAAGCGCTCGGTGCCCGCGGCAGGGCTCTAAACACCGGAGCCAAGAGCTCGGCTCGGTCTCCCGAGGTGCCGGCAGCCGGCCCCCTGCTCCTCTAGCTGCCGGCACAGCGCCCCAGCACCCCGCACCGCCCGGCCGTACCTCCCCGGGAGGGCGAGCGCAGAGCCGGGCACCTCCCCGCCGGCCGCGGCCGCCCGAGCCCCGGCGGAAGCGGGAGGGCCGCACGACTGCGGGCGCAGCCGCGGCCCGGATTTTGCCTCGTCCCGCAGCTCGGTGTCCCCTCTCTGCGCACGTCCAGCGCCTCGTCTCCCCGCGGCCCGGCAGTGCCCCGGCCCGGCTGTGCCCCGGCCGCGGCCGCTCGGCCCCGCGGGGCGGCACGTCCGCGCCCGCCGCCGCCACGCGCCGTTCAAACGCCGCCGCCGCCGCCTCCCATTGGTGCGTCCCGAGCCCGCGTCACGCCGCGAGCGCCGCGCGCACCCGCGCCTGGCCCCGCCCGCCGCGGGAGGGGCTGCGGTCCGGCGGGCTAAACGCCGTAATTTGGGGTGCTTTACTGCCTGTGGCCGCTCCTTGCAGCAGTCAGCCTCTCACACTCTGCAGCTGCACTGTGAGAGTTACCCACGGCCAGGCCGCGAAGTGTAGGGAGAATGCCTTTGCTAACGGTTAGACGGGTGAAGGTGTGCGTACCAAAGTCTCTGAAGTGGCTCTCGGTGTCTCTAACTTCGGGCAGCAGGTTTGTTGCGTTGCCCAGGCAGCTTGGCTTGTGAAACAGACAAGGGGCTGCATAGCCCGGACTTCTGAACTTTGTGTTCAATGGGGCAATGAATATGTGCCAGGCGGTTCGGAAAGGCTGCACCTTCCTGTACCTCAGCAGTGGGGAAGGGAAGAGGGCAACCTGCGGCTGGGAGCTCAGGATAAAAGGATGCTGTGTCCTCCGAAACCTCAAGAGAGAAAACTCTGCATGTGTATGTCCCAGTGAACTCTATTCAAATAAAGTTACAGGACTCCTCTATCTCTTTTTTGGCCATAAGCCTCTCTGGTGTAAAGTGGATTTTCCTGACAAGCGTGAGCGAATTTACATCTTCTGTGTGCTTATACACATCTTTGCAGTGTGCTGAACCACTGAGAGAAATGAGAGAAAAAAAATCACCTAAACGATGTCTTATTAACAGAATAAATGGTATTCTTGATTCTGTTAAAACAGCATTTCATAGCTGCTGCACTTTTTTTTGGTCTTACAGCTATTCCTGATTTCCTGGTTTTATTCATTACAGCTTGGATGTGTTGTAGCAATCTGATTTCAAACTTGAAAAATTCTCATGGGTCGTGACAGAAACCATGCTGTACATGCTTTTGTCCTTTCCTGCTCTGTGCAAGGTCATGTAATTTTTGTTTTTTCAGTTCAGCCTTGAAGGCCTCATCTGTGTAGTTTTTACAGTAGTATAAATGAAAACTTACTCTCCTACTTCATCAATTGATACCATTAAAGTTGGTGCTGCATTCCTATTGGCAAAGAAGTTGTCCTGCAAACCCAGCCCCGGATGCAATGTGACAATCCCCTTTGGAGACATGAGATCATGTAAAGAACCCATATTTTCTTTAGGGTTCAGCATGAAAAATTATGAGCAATTCACACACAATATAGACACACTTACTTACTAGTAACACACAAAACCACAGCAACCCACAGTCTTATTTTCTCATTACATGTTTTTTTCTATTTTCTTGTCTGCTTGACAGCATCTAAGTAATATCCATCAGGCCATCCTTCCAGCCCCAAAAAACTCTCCCAAAACAAAACCAAACCTCACGGGCCTGGGGGGAAAAGAAAATAAATGTTTTTAAAAACCTAACCAAACAATCAAAAAAACACAAAACCACCTCAGTTTCCCTTCCCCTCTCTCCCTCCCTCACCAAAGCAGAAGAAAAACAGAGACATGGTGGACATTAAAAATCACATAGTTTGTAGAAATGCTGTTTTTTTGCTATTGTATGATTAGCTTCACATCCCCTTCCCTCAGGCCCCTTTCTGTTTTAAAGGCCATAATTGGGTGCATGCCTCTACTCAGCCACAGCAAAAAGTGTCACCTGGAGCCTTGCAAATCTCTGTTTCTAAACATAGATGAAAATATCTAGTTTAACTCAGCATCTGGGGGCTTGGAGGGTTGTTTTTCAGCCTTTTAAATTTTTTTTCCAGCTAGGCACAGCTATTCTAACCCAAAGCAATACCTTTCCCTACAAACTTTGTCTTGCCTAAAGGCAGCAGGTGTTTTGCATTTGGCCAAGTAGCAATTGATAGTTCCCAGCAATGCTGGTGAGGTGTTTTATCCATTAGTCATTTATTAGCTTGACATAAATACACTGGTTGTGATTAAATGAACCCTGTTTTGATTAAAAAATAAAGCTTTCCCCATTACTAAGTGCCACTCTTAATTTTTTTTTTTTGTCCTGAGTATATTTATATCAAGATTAAAAATCCTCTCTTCACATTTTTTTTCATTCTATTGTTCCCATATTACAGCTCTTTTAGAAACACTTTGGACTATTTCTGCAGATTATCTTTTATTTTATGTATTTTAATTTCTATATCCTGATAATCACATTTTCCCTGTTACTGAGGTGTGCTCCTTTGTGCATTAGTCTCATCTCTAGACAGTTTTGTTTCTATTAGATTATTTGCAGGTTACACCCTCTGTATCATTTTACTTATTTATAGTGGAGGATTCCAAGTAGTGAATTTTTCTAGCTCAACTAAATCTTTGCTGTAAGCAGTTTCATGTTTTCCTCTATAAAGATTGATTCTGTCATTGATGCCAGAGTTGCTGTGGATTATTAGTTTATTTCTAGCGGGTGTACTTGTGTGGCAAAACAGCTGCTGCTGCAACTGGAATTGCAGTATGGAAAGATTTGCTCTCATCTTAGATTTGTTGTCTTGCATTACAAGGCAAGTTGTTTCATATAATGACAGCAAATTACAAGAATCTGAACTGGGATTCCGGGAGCATTCCGGATTCTTCTTATCAGAGTTGTCTTGAATGTGATATTACATGGTGATGTCCAATACATTCTGTTAGGGCTCAAAGGAAGTTGTTTTTCTCAACTAAGCAAACAAAAAGGTATTAAATATCCTGTGCAAATTTAAATAAGTTACTTCTATTGCTACCAAAACCAATGACTTCAAATAAATGGAATTTTAACTTTTTTTAGTGAGTGCTTATGAGAGACATTGATAAACCAGTACTTGATGGAAAATATTTTTACAACTTCTACTGGTTTCAATAACAGGATGAAGTGTATGGCTTTATAAGAACAGACGTTTAGATTTGTTGTATCTACTTTTTCACTTGTTTTGGTGATCACCAGTAGGGCACCAAAGAGCAGCCATGATGTGGTGACCAATGGCAAGCTTTTGTTGATGCAGGCAGCTGGGTAACCTCCAGATACCAAATTTAAATACCCCACCCATCTTTTAAACTGCTCCATGTCCAAGCCTACATCAGACAACCACAGTGGTGATATTGGTACTGTCTGGTGTTAACCATCAGAGTAGCTGAGTTAGGATGGTACATATGATTAATATTTTACTACCTCTACCACAAAGAGGTACAGAGCTGGAAATCACAATGTACAGAATACAGTGCGTACTGTGTGGACAAAAGGAAAATTGCATGCAATGTACTGTTCTGTGTAGTACCAAATTAATGAATCCTGCAAGTGTCCTGTTAGAGGACATCCTTAGAAGTGGCTTTTACACATCAGCATTATTTCCTTCCTTTAGCCGAGAGAGAGACTGATTAGTGGCACACAGGACTGTCTTGCTTTCCATTACCTTTTGGGTTTGGGAAGATCATTTATGTCTTGCTGAATCAGCTCTGTTCTCATTTGCTGTGCCATGCTACTGCTGCTGCCTTGCAGTACTTTTCTGCTTGGCCCTTGGATGGCTCATTTATGAGCTGCCTTCAAACTGATCAGCTCTGATCAGCTTGGAGGGGGATGTTTGTAGCCATCATTGTCTTGGAAGTATCATGACAGGAGTCTAAGAATATTTGATGTGTGGGAACTGCAAGGTGCTGATGCACACCCTTCTTCCCGAAAACAGAAAAGCAGCAAACATTTTTTGAAGAAGCTGGTGCAGACATATTTGAGTAAATAAGGTGTACTAGCTTGAGCAAGTTTGGCTGTAAATCCTGTAGAAATAATGACCTGAAAAGATTTTGACGACTGGATAATTGATATTTGTCCTTCGGCAAGGTTAAAAAGAGCTGTGAGCATTTTTTGGGTGTCATTATTTTTATGTATGCCCCTATGTGCTATTTCTTTCACATTTCAGAAAGATATATCAAATTAGAGCCATAAGTTGCTAAAGTTCAGACCATTTCTATTTTGGAATATGTTATTAGCATTATATTCTTTAAGTTATCCATAACCACTTTCTAATTAAAATGCTAATTTTTTCTTTCTCAAAAATAACTTTGTTCTACTTACAAGCAAAACTACAAATATAAGAGGAAAAGAAGCCTGAGTTAATTGAAACATGAGGCAACATGGGTTTCATTAAGCTAAAATTAATTAGCTATAAATCAGCATTCCTACATTAGTTGTATCAGTGTCTTTTTGATGCAAATATGTATTCTAAATTGTTCTAAATGCATATATATATGTAAATCTTTATGTTCTAACTAATTCTAAAATGTTTTTAATTATTAATCCGTTTAATGTAAGTAAGGATGTGAAAGATTAATAAGTATCTTGATCTGTTCATGAGAAATATTCCA